TTGAATTAGGCTCTTATGCATTTGTTCTTTGCATGCCAAATCTTCGGATTTTGACGGATTCCTACAGTTCTTTACCTTTCCGCTGCCACAGATTGGGCAGCTGGGTGTTTGGGTTACTGGGTCTTGTTCTTACTTTATTCATGTTTTCTCATTGCCACATCTTTAGTTTATTAGTAACTACTGGTCAAGCTGTCATTAATCCGTATTGCCTAAGCTTATTCGGACAAATCCGGCGCAGTGTCTCCCTAACATGCTTGCAACTGCGAGGGTTTTTATCTTGCTATATATCGATACCGCTTAATTCGTAGCCATTCCTACACCACGACGTGTACTTGGGTCGGTACTTTGTGGAATGTGAATTGGGCACACTTTGAAAACGATGACATATTGATGTGAAACCTGACAAGTAACAGGAAATTTTAAAAAAAAGGCCTTTGAAAAAAATAAAAGCACTTCGTAAAGGTTTACGCAAACAGGAGAAATTATCATTGCATTGTACCAAGTTCCGGACGAACATTTTTAAACTAGTGATTACTTGGCGACATTGCATTCGCTTTTCGCGGTGCAAATTTCGTACTCTGAGATTAATCATTTATCAGGAAATTTTTGCCCGAATTGATCAAGTATGAAAATGATCCGGAAGATGTCGGATATTGTTTTATCTTTAATGTCGAGTCACTGAACTCCCTGTACACGGAATATTGTGTGAACAAGGAGCAAAACAACTATATTATAGCACTTCCGGAAGTCATGCAGTTTTTCTCGGTCAGTTATTTTTTTTTTTTTTGAAATTAGTGCTTTTATACAGTCAAATATCACAGAACTTCGGCGATCCTTTGCCTTTTAACTTCAAACATAACGTGAACAAGTGAGTGTCCTTCGTAGGTCATGGCTGTTAGGTCAGGAGCATGATTCATTAACAGCTATGGGTTAACCGGCTTCTGCATCGCTGTAGTGATTTTCCTTTCCTTCTTGTATATATAGTTCTGCTTCTCTTTACGAGTGTAGTGAAGGTGCCTCTTTCATTTCTCACCTCCGATTTTTTATGCATTTTGCTCTCTGTAGCAGCAGGACAAAACCACACTGTTACGCCCCTGTCTGTTGCGTATGTTTGTGGACGTGTGTTGTTTACCAGTACATTTCGTCCAGCGTATTCAACAGGGTAACCAGGAAAACTAGAAAGCTGAAATTTTAGCCTAGTGCCCTCTTGTCACGTATGACCCCAAAAACTTAAATTCACTCTTTCCGTGCGCCTGGGTATCACGCACGTCCCCAAAAATTTTAACGAAGGAATTATCATCTCAGAAACACGAAAGCTAACAGGCTGAAAATTTCTGTAGGATATTTTTTGTTTGTGTAGGGACCTAACGAACTCAACTTTAGCTCCCAACTATCCTGAGATCTTATTTGCGACCACGTGAAAGTCTTGACACAGAATTCACTTGGAAGTCAGTGAGGGGACATCCATTGCCCAAGATTTCAGATTTAGTTTTCACTTGCGCTTGCGCTTCACGTACTGACACATAAAATTTTTACGGGGGAATTTCGCAACTTCACAACACTTCGACTATTTTTTTACAGACTGAAGTGTAAAACAGTGAAAATTCTTGACAGCAGACATCCGCTGGGTGAAACTGCGCAAAACGCGTAATCTCACTGGCTATCCTGGTGCCTGCCGCTATTTATTGTATTAGTACTGATGATAGATCATGAAACCAAATACTGAACTGCTGGAAATCACTTTTTTTACCGTCGAATTTTAGGATCAGTAGGAACGAATAAACATGCCGTGGAAGAGGCTGTTTATCATATTTGCAGATTAGCCCGTGATCGTTTTTCTCCTGCCGGTCTCGTGGCGTGAAGAAAAATAGTCTTTATACACCTCTTCTCATTTTTCCGGAAAAAAAGACTTCAATTTGGGTTGGAAGAGTAGAGATGAGGAGGGTAATAAGATGGAGAATTGTAACGTGTGAGTTATTTTGTTTTAGGGGACGTGAAGCCTTCAAATGAAACGCTCATGCCTTTTATGCGTTTTGTGCTGCAACAGTTGCATAAGATATAAAGTGCCAAAAATTTATCTGTGTGTTTGTGTATGTATGCATTTGCGTGTATGTTCAGAATGTGTTTTATCCGGACTTTACAATTTGAGAACCAGGAAGCTAGAAAGCTGAATTTTTAGGGAATTTCCCTCATCCGTATTTGATCCCGTAGACTGAAGTTCAGCTCCTACATATGCCCAGATCTCAGTCGAATAAGGGGATACAAAATAATTTTTGTCCAAGACAATGCATGCTATTGGAGCCGTGGAATGGATTGGCTGATTTACTAAAAAATATTGCTCATGTGTGTGATTTCTTTTTCTAGGAAATTCGTGAAAGGAGCGGTCTGGAGCACAGCCAAGATCTGTCCTCACTGGTGATCAAACCGGTACAGCGAATTACTCGATATCGGCTGATGCTTGAGCAGCTATTGAAGAACTGTAAAAATAATGTCGATGAATTAAGGGTCTGCATTTATCAAATTCGTTCATTCAAGTCGTGTACTATAACGACGAAGCGCTCGCTGAACAACAGAAATATCGCTGTTTATTGCAGGAAGCGTATGACGTTGTTGTTAGTGTGCCTCGGCGAGCCAACGATCTGATGCATCTCGGCAATTTCGAGAATTACCAGGTAAGCGGTGGCTCATTTGCATGTGCAAAAGAGCACATTTTATTTTTTAGCGTTTGAACGGGCATCATTTTGACATCGTCAAGTCGTCTTTTTTTGGCTTAAGTGCTTATAAAAGCGTTAAAAAAAATTCGAAAAATTGCTTATCTTTTTTTTGGCTTAAGTGCTTATCTTTTTGGAAGCTGAATAAACATCTTGTGTTTGTTCCTGGTTTCTTTGGCTCCTTTTTATATTTGAATTTTGAATTTTATTCCGACTTTTTTGATTCTACATCCAGATTTTTTTTTTTCACCACACCGTTTGATAAAAAAAATCTTCCAGGAGAAGTGTTAATTTCTTCTGTTCACTCACGGAATCTTTTTTTTTGAAAATTGATTTTTCAGAAGCTGGGTGTTATCGGTGCTTTTGTTATGCAAGAGCCATTCATGGTCTGGGACCCAAAAGCATATTTCAAGAAAGCACGTGAACGACAGGTCTTTTTGTTCGAACTTTGCGTCGTGTTCGCCAAAAAAATCGAACTGTCCAGTCGAGCAGTCAGATATGTCTACAAAAATCACCTTATGGCAAGTGATTTTCTTGGGCTTCGAAAGTTAAAGGAGCAGGAAGGTTGGGTTGGGACGGCAGTGGGAGGGAGGGCGGAAAGGGGATGGGGACGAAAATGAGGAGAAATATGATTTTTAAAGTTCTTTTTGCCAATGTTACCGTAATTGCTTGGCCATTTGAGGCGTTTGATATTAATTGATTATATTACCTGCACGCATTTTCCGAGAATATCCCGTAAGAAGCCGATAGGAATTGATAAAGCGTTCGCTGCATACTACAGCACCATTAGATGATGTACATCGGTGTAAATGTGAGCTGCACACAGACAGATATAATTGCTTTAACTGCTGTGTGAAGCATATGAGCCTGTAGTATAATGGATAACACGTCACGATCCAAAAGTGCAGAAATAATAAAAATGAGAGATTTGATTCTTCTGCTTCCGTCCGGTGCGTGTCAGGTGTTTGCCTTTAAAAAAGACCTCATTATTGAGTAGCCTTTTCGGTCACTCATTTCACTGAGTGCGTTTTTGCTAACAGATTCGTAATGAATTGCTTGCAGCTGGCTGAGATAAATGTTTGTGAGCATGTAGAGGGCGACTCGAGCAAATTTGCCTTACGACAAGGAAACGTGCCGAACACCGAGATGCGCACCGAGCTCAAGGCTGCAAATGAGCAGTGTAAGGTGCACTGGGTGAAGAAAATCCGCGAATTAATGCAAGGACTGATGACTGCCAATCTCGGTAATGTTTTTTTGAAGTAGAAAATATCTTCTTCACTGCAAAAGCTTTTCACAAATTCCGAAGCTTCTTACATTTCTACTGTGGCCACATCAAAATTCAGCTTCCGACAGGAGAGAGTTTGTTTCTGTGGGTTAGACTGTTGCCCGTTAGCCAAAACAGTTACCCTCTTGGCTTGAACCTGCTTCATTTTCTTGCTGCCAGTTTTAAAACCTTTTTTTTCAAAAGCTGAAAAAATGTAGATGAGGAAAGAGAATTCCCGCATAAGTTAGACATAACGAGCACGGTGTTTATCTAGTCTGGGATGGTTTTTGCGTATTCTGTTTCGATTATTAGTGCTAAAACGTCCACAAATATATAAATACTTCTGGATCCTGCTGTGAGTAGTTCTCTGGAGCAAATTATTCAGATAGTTTCCTATTGGAGCTGTTGTGTAAATCATTTCGAAATTTGGCTTTACTGCAGTCTTGATCCGATTTCCAAAGCTTTGCAAATTTTGAGCTATATCCCCCTGACAAATTCGATTTGATGAATTTGCTTCTTGGCAGCCGCGGGCAGCACTACCAGTGGGCGGTTACTGTCAATAAATGGTACTGCTGAGCTACTTC